GCAAGAAGAACACCTAGGCTTTGTTGTTTAGACGGAGTAACACTGAGCAGCGACAAAGGAAGCAGAATGCACTGGAGTTGTGTTCTGTTTCCATCTCCAAACAAATGATTATCAACCGTCAACAAGCCACGTGCACAGAAGCCATGCTTTCACTTGTTTGTTTTTCGTTTTTCGAGACAGGGTTTCTCTGTGTAGTTTTGGTTCCTGTCCTGGATCTCACTCTGTAGACCAGGCTGGCCTCGAACTCACAGAGATCGTCCTGTCTCTGCTTCCCAAGTGCTGGGATTAAAGGTGTGTGCCACCACTGCCCGGCTGCTTTCACATCTTGTAGGCCACATATATTGTGCGAAGAATTGGCAGATGAGAGTCATGTTCATCTGGGGAATGGAGGAGATAGGTGCCAGCAGACTGGAAGTGTATAGAAGTTGAGGATGCTGAGAGCATCTTGCACTTTCTGGACCAGTAATGCTTGTTATCACTCTCAGGAAAAGTCTGTTCAGCAAGGAGCTTTGAGTGCTATCGGAAACAACCCCAAGAGACGCAGTCAGGCGTCGTACTCACCTGTCTGGTAAGACGAAAGATGTGCTGTGGCCTGGCCTAGACAGCATTCAGCCAGACATCTTGAATATACTCTGACATCATTCCAGGCCAAGACAGAAATGTCCAGAGAGCATACAGGATGGTGGTGGGAAAGGTGGATTTATTTTTAATTGGTTGGATGGATGTACCCAAAAAGCAGTGTTGCCAATCTATCTGACCAGCCCCAGGTCTGTTTTCAATTTAATCAACTGGATTGAGAATGTCGATAGCAAGTTGATCGGTCATGTCAGTGATGTGAAGTCAGGAAGGAATGCGGAGATGATGGGCGCCAGAGTTCAGATTCATCCAAACTGCCTGAAACCCTAGCTTCTAATAATCCACAGCACACACTGGACAGGAGAGGAGAGGGTAGCCTGTCGAAGAAAACCTGAGTTAGACTCGGTTGACGGAGGGAGTGCTGTATGAGTTGGCAGTATGATGAGGTTACAAAGAAAGACAATTTGATGACAGAATTAATGGAAATAAACTGCTCCAGACAAGAGTGGTCCCAGAGCCTCTGAGCTCTGCACTGGTCAGGCCACATGCTGTATTTATGTCCCCGTGCCGCTTCACTGCCACACGTGACACCAGCTTTGACGAGCTCAAATGAATCCAAGGGAGGGTGGCTTGAAGGGATGGAGGATTTCAGAACCTTGTCAAGAATGTAGTTGAAAGTTAGGGCCACGTATCCAAGAAAAAGAGGCTGTTGATAGGATTCAAGAGCAGCCTCCGGGGTGCGAAAGGCTGCCAGGAAAGATGGATTAAAGTGCCGGGCTGCTTACAGGCTGGTGGTTTGAGAATTGCAAAGGCCGATTGCAAGATGGCTTGGCCACCATCTCCCTTAGTGGAACAAAAGCCTTGAGGGATTTCCTTTGCCTTTAATCCGGCCTTCCCAGAGCACCACTGGTTGACCAGAGTGAAGCATTTACTCCTGGCCCCCCTTTCCAGCCGGTCTCAGACACACCCCCTCTCAAGACCTTTGCTCAGCAGAGGAACCGATCTGGCCAGAGGCAATCAGACTCTGGACCCAGGATAACGACAAACAAGTTTTATTGGCCATCGCCATTCTTGCAGGAGGAGCTGCAGCACCCCATGTACCCCATGCACCCCATGTGCTGTTAGATGCCTCATCAGACACATCTCATTTAAATATGATCGTGACCCTGCTGTTGCATCTAGGAGGGATTGAAGCTTAGGGAAAGCACATGGTGCTGCACATCTGGAATCCCAGCACTCCAGATGTTGAGTCAAGAGGAGAGCAGTGTGTTCAGGACCAGCCTGGGAGTTGGAGAGGTGGAGAGCTGATGCCTCAACAGATAAAGTCAGACCCAAAAAGGCTGATGGGCCTGAGTTTGATCCCTGGGCTCCCCGTGGGAGAAAAGGAGAGCCAACCCTGCAGGTTGTCCTCTAATTCTGTGCACACTGGCATATCTGTGTGCACACACACACCAAATACGTAATAAAATTAAAGACCAGCCTGGGCTACATGGCAAGACCTGGTCTCAAAAAAGGAAAGACAAAGGTTGTCATTTGCCAAGGTCACCTAGGATGTAAACCCGTGATGTGTGATACTCTGCCTCCTAGAGCATGCTCCTGGTCCCATGTCCCTTAGGCCTCGCCAGTGGCTGTGGGTCCAGGAAGACCCTCTCCTTCCCAGTCCCCACCCCCAAAAACTCTGCCTTATCCTCTGTGGAGAGCTCAGGGAGAAGGCCCAGCTGAAAATTCAGGCCATGCTGCCGGGCACACTGCTTATTTCTTTATGACTAAGATTAAGCTGACAACCATGCAAAACATTGCAAACCTATGTCGGCTGCAGATTTAATACCTCACCCAGCCCACACAAATAATTCATGCTTCTGCATCGATGTCCAGAAAAAACAAATCAGCAAAAAGCTGGGCTCCTGCGCGTGTGAAGCCTTTCCATTGAAGCAGTATGCCGGAAATACCCAGGCTCCAGGAATGCAGATCTAGCATTTTGAGATTTTTTTTTTCTTAAAAGATTAAAGTGTGTTTTCTCAAATGATTGAAGGTTGGTGGGAGGTGTAAATGTGGGCACTTGTCACATTAATTCTTCAGATGATTAAGTTCTTTGCCGCTTCTTTAAAGCTGTTTGCAGTTGGGTTTGATGTCCCCGTTCTGGGTGAGTGTGTTGTGGCAGTTACCAAGGTGACTTTAGCTGACTTTCAACAATTTATTTTTCCCTCCAGCTTGAGACTCTCTAGCCCTGTGTACTATGTGATTATTCTCTACCAGCCCCCACCCCACCCCCCATGGCTATTCATCAGCATTTTTGCCTGGCCCACTGAGGCTGGGATCCTGCAGAAGGCCCCACCCCCTGCAGGCCAGGCCTCAGATGCACATGGGAGTGAGCATAAGGGTCACTCAGCGGGGCTCAGGGTGGGACTTGGTGGTAAAGCATTTGCCTAGCATGCATGAACCTCCGCGTTTCAACCCCAGCACCCCCCAAAATAAAACTCCCACTGTGACCTTGAGGTTGTCTCTGCTCACTTTATGTGTAAAAAGGCTAAGAGAGCTTCCACGCTTGCTGTGAGGACCCACTGAGTGAGCCTGTGCGTGTAACAGAGCCTGGCACAGAGGAAGCCCTTGACAAACCTGGCCGCTGTCATTTCTGGTCCTCTGCTCTTGTTTGGGCCCCAGGAGCACCCCCATATCACCTTTGAACCTGTCAGTTGTTTGGGCCCCAGGAGCACCCCCATATCACCTTTGAACCTGTCAGTTGTTTGGGCCCCCAGAGCACCCCCATATCACCTTTGAACCTGTCAGTTGTTTGGGCCCCAGGAGCACCCCCATATCACCTTTGAACCTATCAGTAGCGCCTGGATGAGATGTGGGGTTGCCCTCCTTGGAAGGCCGGCATATAAGGTGGTCGGAAGTCCACGATTCACAAGCTGGCCTCCACAGACATGCTCTTTGTCTGGCTTTGGATGTGTTCCCTCTTTGAAAAGCAAAGAGGTGGATTAAGCAGGTTGAGTTTCTTTCCAGTCTTGAAATACCATGGTCTTCTTGCCCGTTTGTCTCCTTCACAGGTCTTGTGAAGTGCCTGCCAAGGGAAGGGCAGTTCCCAAGGTAGTTTGGGCAGTTGCAGGAGGCAATGCACTTAACAGTGTGACCACTTAACAGTGTGACCGAGTGGTCACAGCTGGGGTGGATCCACCTGGGGAGAGGAGAGGAGAGTGCTGAGCCATCGCCCGCCTGTCAGGGGGGCCCTGTGCTCACCCTCTGTTAGCAGGATGAGGCCTGCTCCTGGGTGGCTGTCCACCTGAGATATCCTGAGTAGCTCCTGCCGGGTGCTTAAATGATATAAAAACAAACAAAATGAATGATCCTCACCTAGTGTTTTGATGGGTACTTGAAGAATTGTTCTGGGCTTCACAGCCCAAACCAGAACCCCCCCTTTTCCTGCTGAGGAAGATTTGGGAGGTCAGTGAGGATGGCTGAATTTGAAAAGCAAAATTTGCCGGGCGGTGGTGGCGCACTCACAGGTAGATCTCTGTGGTTCGAGGCCAGCCTGGTCTACAGAGTGAGATCCAGAACAGGCACCAAAACCTCACGGAAAAAAAAGGAAAGAAAAGCAAAACTTAGAATGACAGGGGACCCAGTAGCCCAGCTGTGGGACAAGCTGTTGGTGGGGAGTTGAGCTGGAGGGAGCATGAGTGACGGTGACAGCTTAGTGTGACCAAGGTCACTGTCAAGAGGGATCTAGTTCAGGGCTTCCACACATGCACACAGCACACACTGAACCACACACACACCACCCCATACACATGTACAGGTGCACACACATGCACGCACGCGCACGCGCACGCGCGCGCACACACCACACCAGTGAAGCTCAGCTAAGTGTCACCCAGCCACATGCATCTGACCCCTAGGGGCCCAGCATTCACCCCTCAGCGAGGATTGTGCTGCCCTGCCTAGAAGAAGACACCGCTGCCTGGCCTGGCCTTATGCAGGAGTGTGCTTGCTCAGAACCCAAAGGTCAGCTAGCAGAAGATCCTGGAGCTGTTGTCCCGTGTCAGACTCCAGGGCTTGAAGATGGGAAAAAAAGGCTCCTTAGAGCTCCTGTTGATGTCACGGGACAAACAAGCCACTGTGGTGTGTGTTGGCCAAGGATGTGGGCTCTAGAACCTGGCCGACTTCCGGCCAGCTCCCTGTCTTCATGGGTTGTGCTACCTGCACATGTAACTTAACCACTTCGGTCCCAGCGTGCCCACCTATGGGCCGTGGGGAGGCATGGCAGCCAGTGAGAAGTGCTGGACACACGCTGCCCCGTGGCTAGTGCCTGCTGAAGGGGGCTGTTACCATGGTTAGCAGGCACCATAGTTGCTAACCAGGAACTCGGCCACAGAGTCCCATGTGCTCCTCCCCGTGTGCTTCATCTGCCCCCTGCTTGTCCACAGGAGCCGCAAAGACAGCTTGGAGAGCGACAGCTCCACGGCCCTTGTCCCCCACGAGCTGATCCGCACTCGGCAGCTGGAGAGCGTCCATCTGAAATTTAACCAGGAGTCAGGGGCCCTCATTCCCCTCTGCCTCAGGTGAGCTGCAACAGTCCATCCCACAGGACCCTGCAGGCCTCAGAACCTCCACAGTCTGCCTGCCCCCGACACAGGCTGGCCTTGAACTCACAGAGATCCTCTGCCTCTGAGAGCTGGGGTAGAAGGTGTGTGCCCCACACCTGGCTTTCTTATCCTCTGGTTCTCCGAGAAGTTTCAAAGTCACACTCCATGGGGAGTAGATGCCGAGAACACTCTTTTGTCCAGAAATGTCCTTCAGCTGTGCCCCCTATTTGAGAAGTCGAGTGACCAAGAGAGTCTAGGATGGCCCCTGCCATCCCATAAACAGGTCACAGGTCATGCTGGGCTGACGGGTGGGAGGGTTCTGATAGGTTGGGCTTTTCCTTCTTTTGCTTGATGCTAGGCAAGCTTCTTAGTCCTTTAGAAAGCCCAGTGACCAGCCCAGCGGCCTCGTTGAGTGACCGGAAGCCCAGCTGTGTCTCTTCTGCTGTGAGAGCCAGAACGCAGCTCTTCAGAACACTGCACTAGGCTGGATCTCTAGCGGCTGGCTTCCTCCAGACCCTTTGGAGTTCCATCCTCACTTGCTAGCACAGGAGGCAGCAAGGATCCCCCTAAACTGGAGGGGACAGTGACAAGGAGGAAGGAATTGCATGGTTTGAACCCTGCCCATGGTTCCAAGAGCCAGGAGAAGTGGGGGAGGAGTTACGATTTGAGCCAGCCTTAGCCGGCTGCCCTGAGCAGCGGGGCAGAGGTATCTGGGCTGGTGAGGGGACCTCCAGGGCCAGCACCAGACTCCCCCATGTCCTCCTAGCAGCCGCTTAGGCACAGCTTGCCCATTTAGCCTGGGGAAGGGTTAATCTGAAGCAGCCGGTTTTACCTCCTTCACCACTTGGCATCCCTGCCCGTTGGGTGCCCCTGCCCGCCCTTCCTCCAAGTATATTTCCAGACTGGGGATTATGGCGACTTCATGCAGTGACCCTGCTTGGCTTCAGCCTTTTGTTTTTGTGTCTTTAAAGATTGGCTCCGAGCCTCTAGGATACCTGCTTACGTGTTACAGGAAAGCCCAGGAACAAATGGAAGGTCCTGCCTGGGCACAGAAGTACCCCACTGGGAGGCAGGAGTCCTTCACTCCGCACGTGATGTTGGCACCCTCTTAACGTCCCTCAGTGTTCTCGCCTGCCCTGAGGCCCGTTGAGCGCTGATCTAGAGTGTCCACTGGCTAGGCACACTTGGAAGGATGCCTTCAGCAGAGAGCTGGTAGGGCCTGCACTAATGCGCTCCAGTGAATGTGTTTGCTTAAAAGTCCCATTAGAGGGCAGCTGGCCCTCAGGAGGGCACCGGCCAGGCACTCCGCCTCAGCGAACGTCGCTCTGTAGCGCCAGCCCCTGGGCTAGGAATTGCGTTTCTGGACCCAGATCCCCACTCTGTCCATGTTCCCATCCCCAGGGGCAGACTCCTGCATGGCCGGCACTTCACCTATAAGAGTATCACAGGTGACATGGCCATCACCTTCGTGTCCACGGGAGTGGAAGGCGCCTTTGCCACTGAGGAGCACCCTTACGCAGCTCATGGACCCTGGTTACAGGTGAGAAGCATCCTTTTCTCCTTCCTTTTTCTGTCGGCTCTTCCCTCGCTGCCTGCCCTCCCTCCCTCCCAGGGCAGCGCCCTGGGGCACCCAGCCTGAGCTGGGCGCTGCCCTGGGGTTCAGAGCCTGAGCTCTGGGTGTGGTTATGGAGAATGGGTGCTGCTGCTGTCCTCAAGCCCCAGGGGTACCTCCTGACCGACCTCCTTCCCATTCCCCGAACGAGGTGCTCTCCTGGCCACTGCCGGAACCACTAATGACAGTGGACATCCGGGGGTGAGGAATAGAAAACTTCCCATGCCCCGGGAAATCAAGATACAAGACATGGAGGGTGAGGCAACGTGGGGATAGTCTCCAGTGACGAGACGGAAACCTCACCAGAATTCATAGGAAGTGGACTCCGTGGCCAGGCTGGGCAGGCCGCAGTGGCTACCCACATGGGCTTTTGTCCTGATGGAAGCCGTTGAGCAGAGCCTGACAGCTGTCCAGAGCTTTCTTACTGTGCTCTCCTGCTTGGAGCAAGGGTCAGAGCCGACGATGCCATACAGTGCTCACCATTAGCTCTTCCCAGTGCCCACCCTGCCCAGGTCTCCAAAGGTCACTTGCTCGGTCTACCATGCTTCTTTTTTGGCTTTTGACTGTGTTTTGGAGTAGGGGGAAAGCAATTACCTTACCTTTCACAAGAATATCAAGGAAAGGAATCAGGGCCAGGTGTGTTGACACACAGCTTTAATCCCAGCACTTGGGAGGCAGAGGCAGGGGGATCTCTGAATTTGAAGCTATCCTGCCCTACATAAAGTTCCAGGCCAGCTAGGGCTACAAAGTGAGACCCTGTCTAAAAAAGAAAGAAAGAAAGGGAATTGGGGCTTCAGAAAGAGAATCTGCCCTCCATCCAAAAGGTAACCACGCTTTGTTTGTGGTGGGTTCGAGAATACACAGAGTTACAGTAAAAAGGAAGGAAGTACACCAGCTTTGTGGGTAGTCCCGTCTGGGGGCTGCCCTCCTCTTAGTACGGTATGTTTTCGTCCGCATGTGTCTGCTCGCAGCTGATGCCCTCCCCTGCTCCCCACCAAAGTCCTAACCCTTAATTAAAACAAACAGCAAACAAAGGGTACCAACTGCTCGTCTCCCACTAAGCCCAGAGGTAGAAATGGAAGCTAGTGCTTTAGGGATATTGTGTCCCATAAATTATCTTGCCTTTTTCCACTGTTGTTATTACATTGTTTCATAACAAAATTACTTTGAACCATAAAGTTATAAATACATTTTAAAAGTCCCACTTGGTAACATTAGATTTCTGTCTGTGCGGTGTTGGTAGTTACTGTAGCAAAAGCTCAAAGTGTAACATTTGAAATGAGCCCAGCACAAGAAGAAACAGCCTCTGGTACCCCGACTCCCAGCCCTAGCCATGTCCCAGACTGCCACCCTGTCTCTACTGACAACCAGAGTCGCCGGTCTCTTCCCCTGGACAGAACTAGTATGGAGGTGGGAGATGGGGACCCCGAAAATCACCCCAGGCACAGAGAGTTATCAGATCATCATTCCAGTGAATGATTTAATGCCAGCAGGTCTTAGCAGAAGTGTCCTGGTAGTTCATGAGTGTGTGTCTGCAGTTGAAGCACATTTGGAGGGAATTAGGAACGGGGGTCTCCCTAGACTAACGAAGAGTGTCTGCCCTTGTATTCTGTCATCTTTTGGAGAACATCTTCCCGGCCCGAGGGCTGGGGTGGTCAGCATCTCTAGTTTTCAGCCTGCTCAGGAACCTGGGCCCCCGGAAGACTCAGCAGATGTCTGGCAGCCCCTCAGTCTTCTGGAAGGAAGCCTCCTGCACCCCACCCAATTCCCAAGTTCTTAATCCCTTGGCTGCTGGTGTTCCCACTCTTGGCACCCCCAGCCCAGACACACGCTGGCAGCCCCTCAGTGAGTTTGGGCATTCGGCACCACTGCCTCCCAGCACTTGGGTCCCCTCCTGTAGGCTGTTGCCCGGGGAACCAGGGAGCGGTGGGAACGAGTTGCTGGCCTCGGCATGTTTCAATCAAGTCGCTGTGCTGGGAGCCGCTTAATCAAAGGACTGTTATGGGCTCATTAGTGTGGTCCACCACGGGCCGCCCCTCAGGAGAGCTCTGGGAAGGCTGGCTCAGGTCCCGCCCTCCAGGCACGCACCCTTGATCACCAAGAGGTTTCTCAGGCTCTTTGCTAGGAGCCCTGGGAAACTCTCCATCTGACCTGCCCCAGCCAGCCGGGTTCTCAGCAGTGAAGCCAACACCCACAACAGCTTTCCTCCCGTCCTGAGAGCAGTCAGCGTTTTCTGTTTCTGACTGCTAGCCTGACTTTCCCGTTAGGGTCTTGCCTCTGTGGTCATAGGCAGCTCCCCAGCTTGTGGGAACTGGGCTTGTAATAACTTGTGGGCCTCTAGGTTGCCTCTCAAGGGCCAGCTGTCTCCCCAGGAGTCTGTGGGACCTGAGGTTCCACTCAAAGTCACAGATCAAGCCCCACTATGCCAAGAAGGAGCCCAGGCCTGTTTGGAGGGAGAACTCAACATCCACAGAGCTGCTTCTCCTCTTCACGGGCTTCTGTCACTCACAGGGTCTGGAGCATCTCCTTGAGCCTTTTGTGCCCAGGCCTATTGATGGCAGAGGAGCAGGGGCAGCGGATGTCGAGACCTAGACTTCTGTCCTTTGGCTGCTGCTTGAACTACCCCTGTGAGTCACCGCTGAAGAGGGAGCGGCAGGGAGACTGTCCTGCATCAGCCTTCGACGTGCTCACTCCCAGCCTTGGCACCTTGCTCTGGCTGCCAGCCCAGGCCTGTTATCTCTTAGGGAAAGGCAAGGCAAGGCATCCATTCTCCCTGTGCTGGGAAAGGAGGACTGAAAGGGAAAGGGAGCCGGACGTTGGTGGCACACACCTTTAATCCCAGCACTTGGGAGGCAGAGCCAGGTGGATCTCTGAGTTTGAGGCCAGCCTTGACTCCAAAGCAAGTTCCAGGAAAGGCACAAAGCTACACAGAGAAACCCTGTCTCAAAAAAAAAAGAGAAGGAAGGAAGGAAGGAAGGAAGGAAGGAA